CCCCCTCCCCCCGCCGCTGCCCCTGCCGACCTGGCCTCCGGCCGCGGCCCCACCGCCCACGTCTGCTTCGGCTCGTCGGTGCTTCCCTCACGGAGGGAAGGGGGGCTTCTCCAATGCCAAGAGAAGCTCAAAACTCTTTTCTCCAAGTACCGCTGTTTTCCCTCCTCTTATCCTCTTCTTCTTGTGCTGCCGGGGAAATATTCTGACCTTACCTCTTTGCAGTTTCGCTGGGGTGTGTGGATGTGGGTGTGGGTGTGTGTCTCCGCCTTAGACTTTGAGTGGATTAATAACGACCCATTTTCTTTGTTTGGCCTCTTTCCGAGGCTTCACTCCATTTCAGTTTGCAAATCTTGCAGAAACTTACTTGTCACTGAGGTTTCTTCCAAGAGAGCCGACGCAGTGCTGGGCTGCGGCGGCTCCTGGGACCTGCTGGGAAAGACGACGAGGAGACATGAGAAATGCTTATGTGTTAATTCCTTATAGTGGGAGCCTTTTTGGCACGTTGTTGTGATCACGTTCCACCTATGTGTCTTGCCAGTATCTTCTGGAAGAACTTTATTCTTCCTGTACACAAATGTCCATTTAAAAAGAAAATGGTTCTTATTCTCTTTTCCTGAAGCGTTTTCTGTCCCTGACCTTTACAGAAATAGGATTGGTGCGTGTTGCTTTGTTTTTGCTCTGGCTGTTTTGTGTCCTTAACAAAAAAAACTGCAGTATACAACGAGGCTTTTAAATGTAATTTAAAGTCACTTGCCTTTTCTCAAGCTTTCTTTTTTCTTTCTTTTTGTAGATGCATTATCTGTGCATTGGTAGAAAAAAGATGTGTGGAAAAAATACACTGAAGGAATAAGAAATGATGTGAATCTGCAGTTGACAAGAATTGCATGAGCAGACTTCTGTGCATCTCTGTGTGACACCGTGTGTATTACTGGAGTCTTTTTCAGTGCACTGAGAAAGACTGCAGTGTAACACAAACAATGTTTTTATTGATGTGGTCTGGGACTAAAGCTGCAGGAGATAAGATAGAGCTAGTGTCCAAATCACAGTTACCTTGAGATAAAAAAGTTACTGAAACTCCTCTAACTGCAAACACTAGAAAAGAAACGGGCTTTGTATCAGTTGCTTTGGCGGACAATTCCACTGTGCAGCTTTTTTTATGTACACAGTCTGTTTGGGATAGTCTCTAAGTAGAAAAGGGAAGCCTCTTTGCATAAAAAAAAAAGCTTTTAAAAGCTGTGTCAGTAAGATTTTTTGACATCAGCATTTAGGGCACAGCCTTAATCTTGTGATTTTCCTGCAAATTTGGAAGGAAGAAAATTGACTTTGGACTTCTTACTAGCTTGAATACAAATGGATGGATTCAGTGTATAGAGTACCATAGTCCAGAGAAGAATGATTGTCTCATGATGTGGGCCTAGTTAAACTTTTGTCATGAGTGTTACTTTAATCTGGTAAATATTTATGGACAAACTGATTATAGATGGCAGTGGGAGTTGTATAGTAACAACATAATGGTGTCATCATTTTTGTAGTTAATCATATATTTGTTTGCTGGTACTAGAAGTTGGGAGTGTGGCAAGAGACACTGAGGTCCAAACCCAACTTACATGAGGGCTTTGGTACTTTGGAAGGGTTCCCAAATGGTTTATCTTGGAGCTGTCCATTTGCTTTTAGCATGATTAATTTCAGTCCCTTCCTATTTTATCTTGCTTTCATTCTCTTTGCAGTTCACAAAATGTGTGCTGTGCCTTTCCTGCCTATAATTTGATTGTGCAGTGGAAAAGCTGTATGGTTTCTAATACATCTTTCAAATACCTTCCATATTAACAAAGTCTCCATTGGGAAAACACAGGCTAAGTGCTTTTGACAAAATATACATTCAGTGTATATTACGAATGGCAAATATAGCCATTTAAATACAGCTATAAAATATGCAAATATAGCATTTAAATACAGAGTCTTAGTTACTTCAGTGCCTTCAAATGGAGAATATTGTGAGATTCAAGTTGAATTCTCTAATGTTTAGAAAAAAGATGGAGTTTTAACTTTCTCTGTGCATGTTGTAAAAAAGTTAATGTCTTTAACACTCAATTGTAGAAAATAAAACGTTAGAAAGATCTCACTGAGCTGTAACACCTGGGATTTCTGGAGTGCAGTGGAAATACATTATAGGACTTGAAAATCTGCTTTGTGGCAGAGAATGAGAACTCTTCCTTCCTATGCTCTTAGGACACCAGTAAACTGGGAACTAGGTTGGGCAGCAACTTGTGTGAGCTGATGGGATGCTCGTTTTATTGTCAGGTATCCACAGTGCCTATGAGTAGTAGAATGAGAATGATTATTTTGTTTTCATTGTGCCAGCTGTATTTTGAGTGTGGACAACTGCCTCTCTTACATTCAAGGTTACTAAGAGGTTACCATTTAGCTGGCAGAGTAGCTTTCATTAGTGAGAACAGCCAGGATGAATCATGTAAATGGTTTAAGCCAGAATTGCATTTACAGTGATAATGAATGGTGAGTTCCATGCTAGTTATTATATATATCTGCTGGTTGGTATCTGCAGTGCTCTCCTAGGTATCAGGTTTTTGTAGCTCAGTGTCTTCCTGATACCTAGGCAGACTTGTCTACTTGCTAAAATTTCAAGTGCATGGATTTTAGTGGTGGTGTTTGGTGTTTTTTTTGTTGTTGGTTGGTTTTTGTTTGGTTTGTTTTGGTTTTTTGGTTGTTGTTCAGTTTTGTTTTTTTTAAAAGACTGTCCATAATATGCACTGCAAGAGGTTCTGGAAGTTAGCTGTGCATTGTGAGAAGGATCACTCCCTATTATAAGTCTAATCAACAAACTGCTAATTTGCTGTCTGTGTCCTCTGCTGCCATTAGAAGGGTCCACAAACAACTATATGAAAGTCAAATTTGGTGACGTGTGTAAGATATATGTTGATTTTCTGAAAAAATGGCCTGTTCACTGTTACTCTTTTCACCATTTGTACCTTCTTCCTCCTCCATGCACCAGTCTTTGTCACCTTCTTTATTTATATGTTGCACCATTTCTTATTTCATTTTCCCTAAACTTCTCACATATCTCTCTATTGCTAGTCTGTCTTTTCTGAAGGTGCCATGTGAACACAGAAACCAAGGTTGCCACCTACTTACTCAAACAGTATTTATATTCCCATACTCCTGTCCATTGGTGGGGCTTTTTATAATGGAAAAATACATGGAGGAACTTGAAAATAATCAGTGAGCAGTAGATGTGGTAATTTATCAAGGACTGTCATTTAGGCAGGGTGTGTAATAATCTCATTGCCAGTTGATCAGTTTATGTCAAAGATCTGCAATATCCATTTGGTTTTACACATGAGCCAAAACACTAGATAGCCACAGAAGTCCAGATAGCTTTAATGATATTCATTCAGTTTAACAGTGGCCATTACTGAGGATGCAGTAAAGCTCCCATTGGAATATCAGAGAGGAAAGTACTAAGTCCTTCAATACTGTACTATGCCTTTGCAGCAAGCTAAGTCTGTATCCAAGATTAACTGGTGTAATTCTACTGAAAATGTGTGTCTCGTTGCTTGATGTTAAATCCTGGCTGTAGTGGAAGTATGTGGAAATTCATTCCAAGGTGGCTGCTTGTGTTGTCTTCCTTTCTGCTGCAAATGACACTGTCCTTCTGTTGAGCCTTTTATCTCTGCCCACGCTGTTATTTGTGAGCTCCTGTAACCTTGTTTCAGACAATGAGCTGGATTAACCTGAACAACTAGAATATTATAATGGCCACCTTTTGTCAGCCTTCTGTGTTTTGACTGAAGGAAGCTAGGAGGGGCTCATGCAAGCAGAACTAGTTTGGGGGGTACCGTGCTATTAGGAAAAAATAAGATGTCCAAACGTCTAGAACTATATAATTTCAGCCAGCAGAAAATGCAAGATCTTTTTCTTGTTTCTGCAAAAGTCAGAGCTCTAAAATACTTGGTTAGTGCCTCCAGATGTAACGAGCAACAGAAGAACAGAAATTTGAGCTTGTTACTGACACTGTAAATTGGGTCCATGAGAATTTTACCAGAAACTTGTTTTCAAGAAAAAAAAGGCAGGATGCTGACTGTACTGCAAGCCTGGATATCCTGGCCAGTGAGTATCTTGACTATTGGAGGCTTCAAACCTTCACCTCACTCAGGACTTGTTCAGAAATTTCACAGCTGTGTACATTTCAGGAAATTGATGTATTTGTGACATTTTGTGAATCCTTGGCAATGAGTAAGTTTAAAGTTTCTAAAGAG